TTTTTGATTTTTTTGCGTACTAAGAGAAGTACAGTATATGAAATAAAGCACAAAGGGTTAAAACAGAATAGAAATGACACGGACTGATTTTTTGCGGATAGCATCCATAGTGGCGGTTTTTGAGTTTTAGTGGTGGTCGTATGTACCTGTTGCTGGTGCAATGATGTCTTGGCTGGATGTTTCGGAGCTGATGTCATTGCATTAGTTGTGACTGCCGGTTGGATATTGCCAGTTGTACGTGGTGGGAGAGCTATAATGGGCGCTAGTGTGATAGTCGATTCAGTGATGCTGCGTGGTGGTGATATGTTTGCTGGTACCCGTGGTGGCGATAAGTTTGTTGGCACTAGTGGTACTGGTAATTTTAGTATGGCCGGTGATGATGCGACGGACGGGGCGATGTGACGATGGTGGTGAAGTTGGAAGCCGTGTGCCTGCACGCGGCGGCTCTGCAACCGGGAATGTCGGTATTTCTTCTAAGTTGCCAATTGTTTGGGGGATTCGACGCAGGATTTGTGCTTACGAGATCCTTGTTGTTTATATTGCATTTGACGATTGGTTCGTGGTGACGGAAGTGAGACAGGGGCTTGTGAAACTCTGTGGATAAAAACTGGACGCTATGGTGTGGCGTGCAGGACTGTTGTTGATGGTTGAACGGTTCGAGATGGAGTCGTTCCTATATGTCTCCCGTATCGATTGATGCACCGATTACAGCTGTGATTTCGAGATCCGATATTGACGTTGACTGGTTGTTTTGAGGCGGTGTTCGTTGCTGTGTTTGTGGTATGTTTTGTAGCTGCCCTTGTTCCAGTATGTCTGGTAGCGGACGATTGTTGCTATCTTTTTGTTGGTTCATTGAATATCTTTCGATTTATCGGAGCACAATAAATGGTTATTGCTCAAGAAAGTGCGAAGGTATTTGACAAATAATGATAAATCGAAGGAGAAGAAATTAAAGCGGAAAAGTTTAAAGAGAAAAAGGAAAGACTTACCCAATTTAATGAGAGTTGTTTTTTTGATTTTTTTGCGTACTAAGAGAAGTACAGTAGATGAAATAAAGCACAAAGGGTTAAAACAGAATAGAAATGACACGGACGTAATAAATGCTTGATTAAATTATAAAATGGTGTTTTGTGTTTGTTTTATTAAAACAACATGGTTCTAAAGAAATGACGATGAATGTTGAATGAATAAAAAAAAATGGATGTACGAGAATTTATACGCGTTTCGAATATCGGTGGTTGGCAAAAATAGGATGAATATCGGTAAGGGGAGTGTTTTCGAATGTCTCGGTCCACATTTGGTAAAATTTGGGGCGAAAGCGTGAAATGGAAGGCACGTATGAAAAATGAAAATAAATTTCTTTTTCGTCTAATTGCATTGCTAGAATGTCAGTTTCCCAATCCATCAACCTCCGCGTCCAATAGTAGCCGGGATTAAATCGCTTACAGGCAAAAAATTCAGACCCGCTTCAACGAAGAAATCCGGGCTCCCGATATTCCTCCCCCAGTAGTTGAGCCTTTTGCCGATGGAGTAGATTTTGAGTTGAGAGACCAAATCTCCAAGCAACGTTCTGATCCGTATTTCAGATCGTATTTCGATCGACACCATTGGTAGATTGTTACGTTTCATACTCAACAATGGAACAATGCTCAAACGCATTAGACAAAAAAGATTACAAACAGATTAAAGGTGGTGCGATGGGGTCAGCAGTGACTCAAATACTAGCCGATGTTTATATGGTGGATTGGGGCTATTTGGACGTGACAGTTCTTAAGAATCCACCGAATAACCGTTTCCGCACGATCGTTTTCCGAAAACCCGCTGCTCAACCGTACATCTTACCTTTCGACTCCTCACATCCTATCCATATAAAATAAAATATACCCTATGCTACAATTCTGTTCACACTCTGAAGACTGCAAAACAGAGGTATTCAATATTCGAATTAGACTCCTACTCAATGGCTACCCATCCAAATTCATAGACGCCCATTTCGACCGCTTTGCCAAAGATATCCGCTTACGTAACCTTGACTCTCTTTTCGAGAACCAAAGCAAATATGATT